GATCGTTGACAGGATAAAAGGACAAAGAGCAAAACTCTCTAGCACACAGCAAAGGGCTCAAAAAAAAAAAAAAAAAGTTCCTTTTTTCCGGTCTTCAAGGCTAAGGCAATTTCTTTAGCATCACCCTACAGCCTCAACGTGCTCCCGGCCGAAACACATAAATATTGCTGAGCAGCTTCCAGACACATCTGTGGTCAAACAAATGATGTATGTCTCCAGCAAGGCCAACCATAACTCCACGTCAGGGAGCCATTTTTCCCAGTCAAGAAAATGAAAAGGTGTACGAGATGTAAATGAGTAAATACCCCTTCCCGAGATCCCCCTTTCCCAGGACGGCCCGGTCCCGGCATGAAGACGCATTCACCACCGCAAAGACCTTCCCTTCTCCCACCTCACCCAGCCAGCTAGTGGAGAGGTGGGTGGAGGTCGGTGACTGGGGAGGTCGGGGGGCATGGGGCTCAAGGCCCAAGACCGGGGCTCGCGGGGGTGGGGGTAATGCGGGCTGGACAACCTCGGGGAAGCTTGGCATTGGGATTTGCGGTTCGAGGGCGGGGATCGGGCCTCACCTTCGCCCGCTTGCGCCGACTGGTCCGTCGCCCCTCCGGAGTCTCTGCGATTCCCGTTTCCATGGGGGTCGCAGACCCAGGCACGACGGTAGGCCCAGCTTGAGGCCCGGCGGATCCCGGCGGCTCAGCCAGGCCCCCGGGGGGCGAGGACCGCGGGGGCTCCTTCTTGCGGGGAGTGCGCTCCCCGGCCGCCCCCGGCCCGGCTTCGGCAGGGCCGGACAGGCCCGCGGGCGGCGCGGCCACCTCAGAGCCGTTCTCCGAGCCGCCCGCTGCCCCGGCACCGGCCTCCGACCCGGCCGCCGCCGCCGCTGCCGCCGCCGCTGCCGCGGCTGCTGCCTTCTTCCCAGACAACATCTCGGGCCGCCTGGCTGCGGACGGCCGTAAGGGCCGCTCGGTCTGTCGGTCCGTGAGTCCGGAGTCGCCTCGCTTCACTTCACACAGTCCGCGCGCTGCCAACCGCCGCCGCGTATGCACGCGCTAAGCACGCTCCGCGCGCTCCCGCCGCGCCAGAACAATAAAGCCCGAGACGCCCACGGCCCCGCCCTCCCCGCTGCCATAGAGCGGCGTCCTCGAGGCTAGAGCGGCGCCATGGCAAATTGCACGAAGCTTTCCTAGAGCGTCTCTTTAGCCGTCGGGGTCGGTCCCAGCACGGTCCCCATTCTAGGGCTTCTGGGCCAGACTGTACCTCCGAGAGGAACCATTTCCTCCTGGGACTTGCGTGTATTCATAAATTCATTCGTTCATTCACTCATTCATTCATTCACCTACTCATTCGTCAGGTCAACCAATATTTATTAATGCTTACTACGTGACAAAGGTTTAATTATGAAGTTCTTGCTCTCAAAGAGCTTACAGGGGAAAACACTGATATGTAACTAGTAGATCATCGTATTTACTATTCATAATTGTCCTGCTTCGACTGGGGAAATCTTGGAGAGCAAATGAGTTTCGAGGTAATAAAATGGACAAAAGTGAGGAAATCCAGATATGAGTCCAAACGGGATTGCCATTGCCTCCGGGGCTTTGTTCATGCTCTGTCTTCTGTCTGGACCCCCTCCCCATTTGCACTTCCTCACTCGCACCTCTTCCCACTCCTACGCTCCCATCCCCACATACATGACGGCTTTCCACTCCAGGTTAATTCTTTCTAATGTCGCTGATGGTGGTGGCGGTTTATTCTTTTAATACCTCCAGGAATCCTTCACTGACCCAACACTGGAACAGGCCTTGTGTTCTTCAAGCTTATTTCCTCTAGGACACAGAGCTGTAATCGCTTTTTTACAAGTTTGTGTCTTCAAAGTATAATTCTCAAAAAATACTTCCATTTATACGTGAAGTTCAAGAACTGGTAAAACTAATCTCTAGTGATAGAATCCAATCAGTGGTTGCCTGGGATGAGGGTGGGGGTTGACTTCAAGAGAGCTGGAAAGGACTTGCTGGGGGTGATGGAAATGTTTTCTATCTTGACTGGGGCGTGTATACATTAGTCAAAACTCACTGAACTACACACGTAAAATAGGTGTATTTTATTTTATGTCGATTTTACATCAAAGAAGTTGAATTTTTTTTTTTAAACTAAGCTAACAGAAAAAAAGAGACAATTAAGTTCAGGAAAACTAAAAGCTATGCCAGAAAGAAAGTGTAATCATAATACAACACATGGTTCAGCTGTGAACTACACTGACAGGTCTATAATAACATAAGCAATGAATATTGTTTTAACCAAAGGGATAAAATTATATGGGGAGAATGGAGGAAAGAGAAACTTTGTGGAGGAGAGGGGTGAGAGGGGTTTACAGAAGAGGGGACAAAGTGGGAATGGAGGCGGTTCTACATAGGAGCTAAATACCCAGATTCCATCATGAAAAGATAGTATATAATTTCAAAATTGAGAAATTCAGAAATAACAGTATAAGCATACTACTCAGATATATCAAGATAAACACCAGGAGGAATAGCTAGAAGAGTTGAAATTGGTTGTTTGAGTCGTAGAATGTGAGGGTGGGAAGGGATGAGATAAGAGATGGAAACTTGTTTGTTTTAAACCCTGTAGTTCTATCTGACTGGCTTGCATGTTTAGTAGTTTGATAAAATTTAAAATTAGATTTTAAAAATATGCATATCCTTTGACCCAACAATTCCACTTTCAGGAAAACATTCTAGGGAAATGTTTAAGTATGTGTAGAAAGATTTAACTTTAAAGTGTTGGGCTTCCCTGGTGGTGCAGTGGTTAAGAATCCACCTGCCAATGCAGGGGACATGGATTCAAACCCTGGTCTGGGAAGATACCACATGCCGCAGAGCAACTAAGCCCGTGTGCCACAACTACTGAGCTTGCACTCTAGAACTCGCGAGCCACAACTACTGAGCCCATGTGCCACAACTACTGAAGCCCGCGCGCCTAGAGCCTGTGCTCTGCAACAAGAGAAGCCACCTTAAGGAGAGGCCTGTGCACTGCAACGAAGAGTAGCCGCCTCCGCTCGCTACCACTAAAAAGAAAGCCCTCATGCAGCAACGAAGACCCAAGGCAGCCAAAAATAAATAGATAAATAAATTTATTTTTTTAAAAAAGTGTTATCTCAGGTCCCTAAGACCCAACAAGTGACAACTAATTGAATATATTAGAATAACATAATCATTAAAATTTACATTTGAACATAAAGAACTCCCATACAAAATAGTGAGCACATGTCAAAGATTTATTTAATTCATTCTTTGTTTTTTTAACTTTTTAAAAAAATTAATTTATTTATTTTTGGCTGCGTTGAGTGTTGTTGCTGCACACGGGCTTTCTCTAGTTGTAGCGCAGGGGCTACTCTTCATTGCGGTGGCCTCTCTTGCAGAGCACGGGCTCCAGGCACCCGGGCTTCAGCAGTTGTGGCATGTGGGCTCAGTAGTTGTGGCTTGTGGGCTCTAGAGCGCAGGCTCAGTAGTTGTGGCGCACGGGCTTAGTTGCTCCATGGCTTGTGGGATCTTCCTGGACCAGGGATCGAACCTGCGTCCCCTGCATTGGCAGGTGGATTCTTAACTACTGCACTACCAAGGAAGTCCCTTAACTCGTTTTTGAGAGAACAGCAGGAAGATAAAGATGGGTCAAAGGAAAATATGAGAAACATAATATAGTCACTGGTCAGTGGAACACAGAATGCTGGAATAAGACTGCAAAGTTGAATAAGAAAAAAAATAATGTCCTACAAGGCCATAAAACTGTAAACTTTGAGGTTATCTTTTCTGTCAGACAGAATTCATTTGCATCTATTTGGAAACAAAAATCATTTGCAACTTATCCATTTTTTTTCCCAGAAGTAACTAATTCATTAAAAAATTTTAATTTAATTCACTTTAAATTAATTTTTTAAATTGTAGTAAAATACATATAGCATAAAATTTACCATCTTAACCATTTTTAAGTGTACAGTTCACTAGTGTTAAGTCCGTTCACATGGTTCTGCAAAGAATCCGCTTACATGGTTCTGCAAAGAATCTGAAGAACCCTTTTCATCTTGTAAAACTCTGTACCCACTAGACGACAACTCATCATTCCCCTCTGCTCCCAGCCCCTGCCAACCACCATTCTACTTTCTGTCTCTATAAATTTGACCGCACTAGATAGCTCATATAAGTGAATCAAATAGCTTTTGCTTTTTGCTTATTTCACTTAGCATAATGTCGTCAAAGTTCATCCATGTTGTAACGTGTCAGAATTTCCTTCCTTTTTAAGGCTAATCCCACTGTATGTATATACAACATTTCGCTTATCCATTTATCTGCTGATGGATTTTGGGGTTGCTTCCACCTTTTGGCTATTGTGAATAATACTGCTATGAACGTGGGTGTACAAATATCTCTTCAAGACCCTGCTTTCAATTTTTGGGATATACCCAAGTGAAATTGGTGGAGCAACTTTTCCATCTGACTTTACAGAGTCAGGACCCTAATCAATATTAAATATTAAACCCAATAAAATTTCCTTCCCCTAAAGCATCAGGTGACAAACAAGTGGGCCAGTTAGCCAATATCCTAATATGACTGTGAACGAGCTTGCAGAAATCTTCTTGCCTTATTTCCAAGTTTTGGATAATTTTTCTTCGCTGTCTCCCTCTCTACAAGGGTAGAGGCTCTGTACTGCTGGCCAGTTGATCCCCAGCGACTAGGCCCAGAAGTACTGTTGAATGACTGAGGTATCATGAAAGCCTACATCATTTGGCTGTTGTGAGGATGTCATGAGATGATGCTTGTGAACTGCCTGTCAAAGTCTGGCACATAGTGGCTGCTTAAGACCTAGGAGTAGTCAGTATTATTGTTATGCGGCAGCTGGGGGTGGGGGCCGGTTATGACTCAGAGGAGGGGGCAGCCATGACTCCTGTCATGGAGGGCAACTGTCCCAGATGGGAGACAGGCAGGGCCTTGGGGCCTGGGTGCTTCCAAGCCATAATGCTGGGGGAGCTAATGTCTCTTTTTAGGAATCTCCACGGGACATTTGCTTCCTCAGGCACCATAGGAGCACTGATGGCTTGGCTGATCAGCTATAAGCCAGCCTTGTTTGGGTTCCTATTACTTCTGCTGTTGCTTAGCAACTGGCTGGTCAAGTACGAACTCAAGCCCACGCCCCCAGAGCCCCAGCAGGTGAGCAAGAGGAACCTTAGCTTCAGCTGAGAGTGATGGGATAGTCGCAGCCAGACTGGGGGGTGGGAAGACAGAGAAGGTGTCAGGACAATGCAGCAAGACGAAGGAATCCGACTCTGGTCTAAGACCTTGCTCTGCAGCTCCCTCTTGGGCGATAGAGGACAAAGCACTTCCTTCACAAAGTTTCAGTTGCCTCAGCTGAAGAATAGGGCCCATCCCAGACTCTTCTACTTCATGTTTGATGACAACATGCTTTGACAACAGTAACAACTGCTTTAAAGTGGGAAAAATTAAAATGGATAAATTTAAAAACATGTATAACGTAGATAAATCTCTAAAACTGAATAATGAAGACAGCAGAAATGTACCTAGATTATGACGTCTTTTATGTAAAGTTAAAAAACATGCAAAACAATATCCTGCCTAGTTTATGGATGCCTATGTATAGTGAAAGTACATTAAGGCAGGATTTCTCAGCCTCTGCACGATTGACATTTGGGGCTGGATAAGTCTTTGTGATGAGAGACTGTCCTGTGCAATGCTGAATTTTTGGCAGCATCCCTAGCCTCTACCCACAAGATGCCAATAGCACTCCTCACCCCTCTTGTGGCAACCAAATATTTCTCCAGACATTGCCAAATGTCCCCAGGGGAGGGCAAAATAGCCTCCCACTGAGAACCAGTGTAAAGTGGTGTAAAGAAATGCATGGAAAAAATAAATACCACATTCAGGATTGCAGTTGAGATAAGGTTCAGGGAGGGAGGGGAACACTCTAGGAGCAGAATCCACAGAAGACTTCAGTTACCGTTGTGATATTTTAGGGATCATGGGTATTTGTTGTAATATTTACTTTTTTTGCATGTCTGAAATATTTAATTCTTAAATGGTTTTAAAGACTAGGAATTTGTAGCTGAATCCTAAAAAAAAAAAAAAAATTGTGTCCTTACCAACTGCATGCAGTGGTGGGGGAGGGAGCAGATAAAGATGACAGAGATAAGAACATTTCATGAGACCACTGAGACTTGGAGATTTTATGAGGCCTGACTAAACTCTCAAAGAGGCATGTTGAGAAAAGCACAAGCTCTGGAGACACATATATTTGGGTTAAGGGTTTTAAGTCCTCGGTGGGTGCAGATTAGCCGGCCGTTTCACTTATTCCTGTGAACCAAAGGCAGCTCTGGATCCTGGGAGTTTGGGGGCTTTCATGCAGGCTGGGTGATGCTGAGAAAGGGACCTTCCCTCACTGGGCCCCATTCTCTCACCCACAAGATGTGGCAAAGAGGCTCTCCTTAGATGCTGGTCGTGAAATTGATTGAGATGATTGTAACTCAACTGGCATGGGAAAGGATTATCACTATTAACCAACTTTTCCTCTTTTCGTGGTGATGGGGAGTTTAGGAAGAGAAGACGAAGACTTGCGAGGCCAAACCCAAGAGCAACTGCCTGAACACAAAAGAAGTGGAGAGGCTGCACGCTTGCTTTGCCCTCCAGGACAAGATCCTTGAACGGCTTATGTTCAGTGAAATGAAGCTGAAGGTCTTAGAAAATCAGATGTTCATTGTATGGAATAGAATGAATCACCACAAGCAGTCAAGCCGACGGTGGACTTTTCCAGCGGGGAAACCCAGAATGAGGAGACGGGAATCTATGTTCTCCATCATCTCTGACTGCACTTCCAATTCCCCCTAACGAGGTCCCAGAGACTGTGGTGGGCTAGCCTCTTCTGTTGTTACCTTTCCTCAGTAAAGCCCAGTCAGAGACTATTGAATTTTCTTAGTAAATCACACTGGAGAGGAGGATTAGAGGCTGAAATTCATCGCCTCTTGAAAAGAAGTTTGTACTCACCAGGTCAGCCACATAGCACCCTATGACACAACCTGATGGGAGCTCTTGAACCCAGCCCTTCCTCTCTTTCAGTTGGACCACCTTGACCCTGGTCCAGGGCCCTCTACCTGTTCACCTTGAGTCTTTCAACAGCCTCCCCAGTGCTGTCCCAGCCTCCAGTCTCCTCCTCCCCCTGCACTCAGAGGCCACAAACAAGCCCTGCCAAGCACAGCTCCGAGCATGATCATTGCCTATTCTTGAGCCAACGCCTTGCCGTGATTGACAGAATAAAAGCCTCACTCCTCACCATGGTGTTCAGGCCCCCCATGATCTGACCCCCTTCCCAACCTTTTTCCCCCATTATTCTCCCTCACATGCTTTTTACCCGATACCAGAGTATCCTGAACATCAGTCAGTAGTGTACCACCTTTGTGATTTTTGCCATAGCTGTGAACCACCTGAATGCGTAACTGGATATTGTCCCTTTAAATCAACTATATTTTCCTTAATAAATTTATCTGGAAAGGAAAATAATAATAAAAAATTTATCTGTAAGTTAAAAAAAAAACCAGTATCATTGTTTGAAATAGAACCTAACAGTCAAAATAAAGACAGTGAAAACAAAACAATGTTGTGAAGTTCCAACCAGAGCTTGGTTGCCCACTTGAAGATCTGAATCTGTAAAATGTGGGTTAAAAAGGGAGATTAGTGAGTGTTAGTGTTTACAAGATATGCCAGCACTCAGCTGAGACTTTTCTCCATTAAGGAGAATTGAGAAGGAAGCCTCTGCCTCGCTGTGGGATCCAGTGTGGCTTAATGCCTTATTGGTGTCCCACTTAAAATCATCTCTCTTAGCAAAAGTCTCGTGCGCTCTCATCAAATTAGGTGATCAGCCATCCCCCAAATGCAGCCACATCTTTGCTCATGTGGTTTCTTCCCCTGGAATCCCTTATCTTCCCCTTTCTGCTGTTACAATTCTTTGCTTCTTTCAAAGCCACCACCTCCGGAAAGCTGCCCTCAGCCCAGCTGTAAAGTGTCTCTTTCCTTAGCAGTATCCCAGCATTTTATCTGTAATTCTACGATAGACTGTATGATGATCTGCTGGGATTTGGTTTGTAAATGTTTCTATACTCCCTCCCCACTCTCCAACTAGATTATAGACTCTTTGAGGGCAAGCACAGCATCTTTTTTTTTTTAATAAATAAATTTATTTATTTTATTTATTTATTTTTGGCTGCATTGGGTCTTTGTTGCTGCGCGCAGACTTTCTCTAGTTGTGGTGAGCGGGGGGCTGCTCTTTGTTGCAGTGCACGTGCTTCTCATTGCGGTGGCTTCTTTTGTTGTGCAGCACGGGCTCTATGCGCACGGGCTTCATTAGTTGTGGCACACAGGCTTAGTTGCTGTGGCGCATGCGGTTAGTTGCTCCGCGGCATGTGGGATCTTCCCAGACCAGGGCTCGAACCTGTGTCCCTTGCGTTGGCAGGCGGATTCTTAACCACTGTGCCACCAGGGAAACCCAAACACAGTATCTTGTTCATCTGTATATCCCCCTCATAGCACCTAACACAGTGGCTCGTATACAGTCAGTGCTCAATAAATAACATCTATGACTGTCAATCACAGTCTTATATGTCCTGACATTTTCTCTGCCCTTTCATTTTATGATTTTTCTATATCCTATTTTGTTTAGAGCAGGATACCTGGAGCTAAACTCCCTGGCTTTAGATCCCAACTCTATCAGCTCTTAGCTGTGTAATCTTGGATGATGAATAAACTGAGTGCTGTACCTCAGTTTCCTCAACTATAAAATGGCCTTATCAATTGCTGTGAGGATTCGATGAGTTACGACACTTCTTCAGGTCTTTGCTCAAATGATCCCTTCCTAGTGAGGACTCCTATGACTGCCCTATCTAAAATCGCAACCCTCCCTTGTGTGTTGTATCTTCTACTTGCCCTCCAGGCCCACTCTCCATCCTTCTGCCTTTTCTGCCAGGAGGCCAACCTGCATCATCAGGTTCCTTTACCCTGTGGCTTCCAGTTGAGTTTGGCCGACAGGGATCCCTGGCAGAGGATGAGAGGGAAGGAGGAGGTTGGGATGTTTATGCCTCTTGTGGGGTTGCCTGGGGCTGGTTTGAGGCTGGCTGGGTCATCACAGAGGAGGCTCTCTCTACAAGACCTTCTTCCAGTTCCCTTCTGGCCCAAGGGCAGTAGCATCCCCCCAGTTACCAGTCCAGGGGTACTGCACCACACTTGTGTGTTCCCTATAGCCTGCCCACACCTTTGTAAATAGTCCCTTTTACACAGCTTCATGGGCCGTTGCTAATGGACTTGCTGTATGGCCAGGCCTTTGGACCACCCAAAACGGGACCATTAGGAGAAGGTCCATATGGTAACCCCTGCTGTGGAGATGGATACAACAATTCAGCCACAAACTCGATCTATATGTGACATATGAATGAGCCCACAGTAAGGCACTGCATCTTGAAGAGAGCATCTGGAATAAAAAAGCTGATTAAGACTATGTGGCCATCATAACCACTTTAGTTCACTAGATGCACACCTGGACCTATCACAACAGTGAAACTACCACGGCGGTTTGAGGGAGTCCAGTGAGGACTCATTTGACTTATGAAGTCACTGGTGCTCACGGAATGTGTATTACTTGCAGGAACGTTGGCCTGTGGCTCAAGGTGGCTCAAAGTGGGACAATGACCTTTGGATCTGACTAGTTCACAATTGCCATGGATTCTGACTACCATGAACATGGTTTAGGTACATGGGGTGACTGTTCTTTTCCACCAAGCAGGTAGAACCTAGACTCTTAAGGCTCTGATGAGCATCTTTTTCATGTGCTGGAATTCCCAGGTATGATATAATATGATGATGGAATTATCTTTACGGCACTGCCCTCCATCTGTCCACGTGGAATTCACTTGCTCTTCCACACTTGCCACCTGCAGGTGGTGTGTACAAATGAGCCTTGGTATGGTTGGCTCAAGGAGCAATTACCTTAGCCACTCCCTCATCCTCTGTGGGCACCTAAGAGGGGAACAAGTCCCCCTGATGTGTCAGGAAGTATGGTGACTCCTGGGTTCCTATGGAGGTAAATGTTCTGAGAAAGGACAGATCAACTAGCTCATGCCAGGCACACGACAGATCCCAGCAAATCTAGCAAGAACATAGGCAAGCAATCTCAGGAAATAGACTGGGGTGGAGGGGTAAATAACCTCTCTCCTCTTCTTCCAGATCTGAACAGGCAATGCTAAACAGCCTTGAGCAGCTGCTCAGGCCGGGGCCCGTGGCATGAACCTGTCACAGTACTGAATATGCCATTCCTACCCCCTCCCACCATGCCCAGCTACGGGAGACCTTATTGGTATCTCACTCTCTGACAATGGCAAGGACACTTCTCCCAGCTGCTGTGCCTTGGGCCTTCACAATCATGTTCTCATCCTCTTCATGGATAATGTTGAGGCCAGCTGGAAGAATATTGAGCAGTGCGCTTTGTAACCCCAAAACTATTTTGTATTCTAGATATAGGTCCTTCGTTGCTTTCTCCTTGGACATAATGCCACCTGCATATCAACCTTCATAATAACCCAAGATGTGTGGGCAAGGCAACATTTCCAGCACCAGCCTCTGGTACCATTGACAAGACACTCCTGGGTATTAAGTACATGGGTTTCCCTATTTTATGCAGGTTTTCCTCCCCTAGATAGGTGGAACCATAGAAAGGAAATTACTATGGGGACAGCCAGGGTTCTCACTGTCAAGGTTATCACGAATCCTTAGCTCAGGATATAACCACATAGCTTTGGACTATTTGCTGGCCAACCAGGGGAATAACCATACTCACTGGCCAATATCTCCTGCTGCTTCTGGGTTAACACCTTCAGACAAGTCAAGAAGCTCATGCAGCTACCGTAAGAGCAAGTCCAATGCCTGCAGACCACTCCTCCATCTGAACCTGGGGCTCTCTCCCCAGGCTTGGCACAGACTCCATGGCCAGATGGCTTAGGCCTCCACAATGTGCTTTGCACTATTACTCCAGGCCTCCCTCTAGCATTAATGTCTCCTCCAGCATTGCCAACACCATTGGAAGTTCCTTATAAGCTCAGCTGGTTTCTCCCCTTGTTGATTTCTATGCCCGTTTGGCAGGCTTATGTTTCAGGAGCCCCTAGGTCAGGGGGTGGACCTTGGAAAAACAATTTGGACTTTACTGGAAAACTCTGGGTACTCACTCCGGGTTCCTAGCAGTGAGATAGCAGGTGGGCTCCAGAGGGGCCTCCCTTCCCAAAGCAGAAATGATTCCACATGGTCTCTACTTCCCCTGGGGTCTCCAGGGGCCCTCAGCACTGCAAACAATTCCCCTGGTACCTGAGCTCAGACCACATCTTCTTTACTTGCAAGACTGACCTCACATTTGCCAAAAAAAGTAGTGAAGGGAATGAGGGGTCCCTCTCCTGGAGCATATTCCAGGATGTTTCCAGCTATGCCCTGACCCCCATATCTCTCTCCACATGATGACAAGAGGTTGGATGGACAACCCAATGCCTCATTCAATGGCTGACCCTCTGCCTCCAAGTTTTCCCAGTAAAGCCCCATTTGCACCTGTGCTGCGTGACTTTGTGGTATTCACCTTCACCCAGTACTCAGTACTTCACCCAGTACTCTCCTGGACCTCAGGGCTCAGTCCTCAGATCCCTTCTTTACTCCTTCTCACTCCCTTGGTAATGGCTTTAAATATCATCTACTGTTACATGTCAATCATTTTCTAAATTGTGTCTTTGTTACAGACCTCTACATCCCAGACTCAAATGTGCAACTGCCTACTTTCACACCTTCACTCAGACATCTCAAAATCCATACAGTCAATCCTGAACTCTGTCCCTCCGCTCAAACCCCCTCCCACGTGCAGGTTTCCCCATCTCATAGTAAAAGTCAATTCCCAGCTTCCAGTTGCTCAGGCCAAAAAGTTTGGAGCTGATCCCCACTCCTCTCTTCTCTCATATCCAGCTCTAATTTATTGGCAAGTCCTATTGGCTCTTCCTTAGAAGCATATGCAGAGTCTGGATGTTCTCCCTGCCTGGGTGCACCAGGCCACTACCATCTCTCAGCTGAACAAGGCCCTGGTCTCCCTGCCCCGACCCTTGCCCTCTAGTCTGCTCTCAGCACTGAAGCCGGAGTGCTTCATGTCTTCCCTGGTGGTATAGTGGTTAAGAATCCGCTTGCCAATGCAGGGGACACGGGTTTGAGCCCTAGTCTGGGAAGATCCCGCATGCCGCAGAGCAACTAAGCCTGTGCGCCACAACTACTGAGCCTGTGCTCTAGAGCCCGTGAGCCACAACTACTGAGCCCGTGTGCCACAACTACTGAAGCCCACGTGCCCAGAGCCCATG